AAAGTCAGAATTCTGACTTTTTTCCCATACTATACTGAAATAAAATAAAACTATCTGTTAACTTTTTTTTTTTTTCAGTGGCCCTAATCCTCTTCCGTACAATACTGACTGGTCAAAAATGTTTAAATATTTTCTTCTGGATACAACACCAATGTTTACACAAGGACCCCACATTAATATGAACAGAAGGTTTAAGTCATGTGAGGTGAAGTTTAGCTGCTTCCAGATCCTTGCAGCTGAGAAATTACCTTTTCTTAGAGTTACAATTCTCAGATTCAAGCAGAAATAAAAGCACAAAAAAGCAAAACAAGGGTGAACATTAGTGCCAACCTAAGGAAGCCACATAGGAGTTATTACTTTCCTTCTGGACAGGCAAATTAAATGTGCACTACGCTAACCAAATGTTAGCATCAGACCTGGCAAGTAGCTGGCGGTAAAAGAGTACGAATATAAGTGAGCCACTTCCTGGCAGGGAGGAGCCAAACTTGCAGTTACGACTTTTAAAAACATTAGCCATGCAGATAATTGGGGAGTAAGAAGGATATGAGATGGTTATGTTTAAAGGGAACCATAGAGTCCAGCTGACCGTAGTGCTAAGCAGTTTCTCCCAATCAGGCTTGAGATAAAAGACCACGCCCCTCCAGGCCCCTGGCAGTGTGGCCCCTCGGATGAGAAGGACCAGGAGGACCAGGTAAGGAAATGTCGCTGTCACCCATACCACCTACAACATGTGGACAAAACAACAAATCAGACAGATCAACATTTATCTGTTCGGACATTTTAATTACTTTTAAAGCAACACTGTGTAGATTTCAACCCAAGTATTAGCTTCGTTTGAGATGTAATAAATGATCTGGTATAATGGGGCGTCCTGATGCTCTGTGCTAAACTTCTTAAAAACTCAGCTATCTTTAGAGGGTCGGATCCATAACTGAATGAGTCATGTGACCCAGAGCGCCGCTTTACGGCATTCTGATTCATTTACCTTAAACACAACAACTAACTCAGCTAAAAATGGCAACTAAACCTTACCTTACCTCATCAGACCTGTTTCTGGTTCACTGATGTTGGATTTAATCTAGAGAGGCGTCGTCTTTGTAAAGAGCTTCATAGCCTCCGTCCAAAGTGCTATCAGATTCCAAAGCAACCAGGAAAACTACATCATTTTGCTACAGATCAGACATTTTGAATTGAAAAAGCTCCCTGGATGAGAAGCGAAACGTCTCCAAACTTGGAAACAAAGTCCAGTGGATAAAACAGACTATGACCTCGATGACTGACAATCCTCACCAGCATACAGCCACGTTATGCCAATTGCTTTAAAGGAAAAGTCCGGTCAAATTCAGAATTCAAACTTCTAAAAGTGCTTTAAATATGAAATTATTTCATACTGTTCAATAAATGATCTGTGTTTTTAATTAAGAGTTATTTTCATGTGAATGTGCTTTACTGGAGGCATCCATGTTTGTCAAAGAACACTACTGCCACCTACTGGTTAGTGACGTCACGGTGCGGTATCGGCTGTTGATCAAGTCCCAGTGCTGTATCTGGTGTTTGTCACAACGCGCTATTATCCAAGTCATCTTGAAAACATTCTTCTTCCAAATGTTGGCTACATATTACGGGTTTTTTCTCTGGCCAGAAGTTCGATGGCAAATCCTCCCTCTTCAAGTTGGCGATCCAACGACCAACCCGTCCGTGGAGGATCAGGAATCAGGTTAAATATCTACTTTTTTTTTCACTTTTACCCGATGTATTCCAGCATCCAGCTGCCATGCACGTGGGCATTGTCAGTTTCACTATAGCTCTGGTGAATTTCAATGGTGAAGTCCTCTGGAAATCTTCAATAATTGTTGTTGATTGCAGATGTGTCTAGTAGTTCCCATTGATTTAGCTTGGAAAGCGGGGAGAATGGCGCTACACTGCAAAAGTGATCTCAAAATGAGTAAAAATGTCTTAAATTAGGGGTATTTACCCTTAATTTGAGCAGGTAAATAAGATGATTTGCCAGTGGAATTAGTATTTTTACTCTTGAAATAAGGTATCTAGATAAAATGCACTTGAAATAAGACAATGCAATTGTTTTTTCTTATTTTAAGTATAAATTGTCTTGTTCCATTGGCAAAGAGTCTCACTTAAATCCCTAATTCAAGAAAAAATGCCCTTATTTTAAGAAGAAATGACTTATTTCATTTTTTTGTAGTGTAGGCTTACCGCACCGTGACGTCACTGCCGGAAGATGTTAATATATTTGGGCAAAAATGGCCGCTCCCCGACTCAGTGGTCGCAATGAAAATTATTATTTTCATTTTTTTTAACCGTGTACATATTAGTTTTATAGATAATGGATAGATAATAGATGGATAGATGCTATAGATAATGATCCATTGGTTATTCCTTCCTAACTGGACTTTTTCATTAAGGGATGCTAGCTTAGAAGTACTGGTCTAGCGCCCCTAGTGGCTAAAAGTTACACAGTGTTGCTTTAAAGCTACGTAAATGTTGCGAAAATCCAACATTATATATTAATGTCTCTATAAACCTGGTTTTACATGGTTGTAGATTGGACAACAGAAACATAAAAAATAATTCATTTTTTGAATAAGAGATTAACAAGCAAACAAATGAATAATATTTGAAAAAAGAAGAGAAAAGCACAAAGACTACAGGAGAAAACAACTGAAGCGAACCTTCAGACGACCCTCGTTTCAATGCCAACACTTTAATTCAGTGTTTCACTAAACCTAAGAAAGTTTTGATTTATCATCCCAATGTTTTCAGGCTGGTTTTCAACAGCCTGTTGATGAAGGATGACAAGGGTAACGCGATAACAGAGTTTCCGTGTCTCCTCTTCCATCCACACATTCATCCATCGAATCTAACTGACAATCCCATCAGCCACGCAGGCGCCCCGTCCGTTACCTTTCCAGACGTCTTCACTCCCTTCCAGATGCTGAAGTAGACGATGGTGAAGATGAAGAGCAAACAGAGGGCCAGCTGCCAGCTGATGGATCCCAGCTGGTGCAGACCTGGGGAAAGGTGGACCTGAAGCACGTGGCGCCTGGAAGGACATGGCAAGAGAAACGGGACTTAAATAAGAAAAGAGGAAACAAGATGGCATAAAGGGAATCATCTTGGAGGGGCAATGCAAATAAATCTGTTTGATATAATCAAATACGGATGGACAAGAAGGAAGCCGACTTCTAGAGATAAAATTAGCAACAATAAAAGTTCATCTGAGTGCACCGCAGTTCGCCTTGGCAGTCCCAGACACTTCAAGCCATGAAGCCAAAAAAAAAAAAGGTATTTTTGAGGAAAAAGGAGGAGAAACTAAGTGTAAGAGTGACATCCGGTCACAGGTTAAGCACACGGGACATGGATGATAATGCAGCTGTGGGATTTGAGCTGAAAACAGGAAATTCTGGCGCCAGACGGACTTGTGGAATTTGTTACTTTGAAACCCTGCATTAGGAAAAGTCAACCATGAACGACCTGAATCTGCCCCCGGATGGAGGGCTCCAGGAGGCGGCGCAGGGAGGCCCTGACAGGAGAACATCAACAAAACCTCTGATTAAAAACATTTGAATAGAAAAGACTGACTCAAGGTAATCATCATTAGACCACGGTGAAATGCTGTTAGCATCTTCCTGCAGGGTACCTCAACCGGAGGGAGAATTGGATTTTTTTTCTTACATGCTTCTAATTTCATCAGAGGTCCAAAACACAAGAACAGACCACCGTGATCACTTTCCTGGACGCCATCCTCGATGCTTTCGCTCTCTCTCTGCACATCTTAACATCCGACTTACATGCACTTACGTATAGAACTCCTCGGCGGGGGACGTGGACGAGTTGGACCAGGACACGTTCTGGTCCGACGACAAGTAGCGGTTGCAGTTCGCCGTGTTCCAGCTGTTGGTGCAGGTGGTCCAGGGCAGGGTGGGTCGGAAAGAGGACAGCAGGTAGTAGAGCGCCCAGGCCATGATGGTGTTGTAGTAGAAGGCGATGTAAAGGGCGATGATGCAGATGGCAAAGCCGATTCCTGATTGAGTTGGAAAAAAGAAAAGGATTTCATAAAGGGAAGAAAAAGTCAATCAGAGTCGACATGAAGAGATGAGAACAAATTATTCAAGTCCTTGTTTGGTGATAGGGTGGCATTTCCAAACAGCACACATTTACATAGCGTCCGATTTATGAGCCAATAGCATTTGGCGTGAAAATGTGACAATTTCCATAACAGAGAGTCGGTACATCTCACAAGGTGTACTGAGGAATAAACCGAAGAGGAGGGGGGGCAAAGAGGTTAAGTGGTCCTGGCTCTTCTTCCTCTTTATGTCTGAGCGGTTTAGCTAGCTGCCACCCCGCGCCTTCAGCTACCTTTGAAGATGGGGCAGATGTGCTTCCAGATGGAGATGCAGCCGCTGCTGTGGAACTGGCCCAGAGCGAGCTCCATGTAGAACAGAGGGACTCCTCCAAACACAGCCATCAACAGGTAGGGCAGCAGAAAGGCACCTGTGACCAAAACACACAGTTATTCTCATTTAAAAAGACTAAATATAAGAAAATCTTCCCACACGCCGTCTCTTCCTTTCAATAACGCCACGAGATTTCAGCAGAATAGACGGAAATATCTGTCAGTATTTAACCCTTTATAGGGCATTCAGTGAAAGACATCTACACTGGAAAAAATCAAAATCTACATAAGTCATTTTTTCTTAAAATTAGTGAATTTTTCTTGGATTGAGGAGGCAAAAAAGACATTTTGCCAATGGAACAAGACAATTTACACTTAAAATAAGAAAACATCATTTAATTGTCTTATTTCAAGTGCATATTATCTAATTATCTTATTTTATGAGGAAAAATACTCATTCCATTGGCAAACTATCTAATATACCTACTCAAATTAAGGGTAAATACAGTTAATTTAATACATTTTTACTTTTTTCTAGATCTTTTTTC